AATGAATTCTATCATCAGGAATGGCGACAGAACTTTCTGGATGCAAATAACCCCCAGTGACAATTGGAGTTTGTATTAGAACTTTAAAGGTGGATTCCAACCAGGGTTATGGGCTCCCTCTAAAAGATTGGTGAAAAAATCAAATGTTTGACATTTTGTTGTGAAAAAGTAAAAAACATAATGATATTGTCTATTTTGATCAAAACTGAGGTCAAATTTCACATTTGAAAAAAGCCATTACCAGATTTAGATGCTTTGAAGATCAAGCACGAATTTGTGACAAACACAGCCCTGGTTCACTCGAGAACTACCCTATATTTACTTGTAGACTTGAAGGGAGATTTTGATGTATGATTTTATTTGATTTTGCTGTCTTAATTCCAAAACTTACTGCCCTTGTTTGAGACTCTTGTAGCTATAAATTGTGTTAAATGGTAAAAGCAGGTTTATCACAAAATATTGAAGGATGTTTTATTTGTATGCTTTTAAATGTGGAATTGGTAGAAGTCCCCTATATATTTAAGGGAACCCATCTTAAAGTTCTAATCACTCTAATTGTTTTAATTTTGATCTTTTCGATTTTTTCACTTTATAATTTCGATTCTTTGAGATAAGATTTTGAATTATTGTTCAAGTTGACTTCAATCCAAAATCTGAAGTTCTAAAAATGTCAGAATTAAAAAAGGTTAATGATCATTGATCCTTTTAGTAAGAAATTTAAACCATCAAGAATCTAAGATCAAAATGGGATCTTGCTAAGGTCTCTTGTAGTTGTGCAATTATATTTTGTGCGCACCCTGAAACATAACACCAGCAGTCTACACTATTGTGTGGTATTTTAAGTAATAATTTAATGTATAGTATCCTATATCAAATATACGATCAAATATCCAAGTTTTGATTCTTGTTATGTTTATTTATGTATATTGTAGAAATAGTAATGAATGGATTGGAAAGGTTTATTCTATATATATCATTGCTTTCACTGCCATTTTAGTTGTCTAAATACACTGTCTATTTTTATTATTGTTTATATGTGTCGAGCCAGAAATTCAAAAAGGGGTGTACTGTTTCAAAAATTTCAGAAAACACCATTTGTATTTTTAAGTGATACTATCAACTGTTACAACTGGATTAATAACGCTTTATGATAAATATTGTTACATGTTACATAAGAGTGATCTCGTGCTTTTTGATGTGATCAGTCATGACATTGAAACGGAAATGTGTAACTCAGTGGTCATGCTAACCCCAAAGTCATCCAAAATGACAGTTTGACTTTTTTGTTGTAAGCATATGATTCTTGGTATCAATTTCATCCCAGATTTATTTTGTATTTTTGTAAATATTGCTTTATGTGAACCAAAACTAGGGCAATAAATCAGTACAATAATCTATGAAACTTTCATAAACCCACTTCATATTTTGTCGTAGCCATGTAGCAATATAGACCCCTAAAATAACTTAACATGATTTAAAGACACAGATACGCCATTTTGGGGAACGGAATTGAGCGGGGGGATTGGGCAAAGGTGACAGCCGCAGACGTTGAACAGTAGGCCTAAATGGAAACGATTTCAATAGTAAATTTAGGGGAGAAAATCCCCTTAAAATGTCCATTAACAGTTTTATACATTGGTACGTGACAGCACTGGTCTTTCTAAATAATCCAAAATGTATACTGTGACCATGTTTTAAGTTGAACATCCGAAAAAAAGAAATGTGTTTTAAATATCACAGCTTCGTTAAGCGCATGTAACTGGATCTTCTTTTCCCCACAATTATTGACTAAATCGGTCTTTAAAAATGTTATAAAAAGAAGTCGCACCCCTGGCCTTTTTTTTAGGGATGGCTAATACAAGAATTAGAAACGAACAAGACATTGAAATTGACCCAACAATTGCATTATCTATTCGTCATTATCAAAATCATTTGAAAAGTGAGACGAGTTCGTCAAAGTTGAATTCGGTTCGAGTTTACTTTGGGCAAACCCTGGGACGTCACACAAATATAGCCAAAAGTGTTTGATTGAGGCGAATTATCTATCCTGGTTTGGTTTGTGAGCATGTCGGTGATTGGATACAATTTCTAATCTTGTTCAGATGATTGGATGTAGAAAAAAGCTCAACCAATGAAAAATTAGTTTTTAAAAATATGTCCGGATCATATTATCAAACAAACAGGATAATTCATGATATAAAAGTTTACGGGGATTTCGTCAGGTAGACACTTTATCGGCCAGTCATTTCCCACACCACTATTCCCGAGAAAATTAATGAATCATTTCAAGATGAAAAGAGAATTTCGTCGAAAATGGCAATAAATTTGACTATGACATAATTTTGTTTTAATTTTCTACCCCAACGGCTTACGTCCTATTAACAGTGACTCATTTTATGAATGAAAACGTTCCCTTTCTCACCCACACAATACCTGAGGATAGGAATTTCGTCACGAGCTTATAGCAGACGACAAAAGTATTCACACTGTAAATATACGATAGGTAAGATCCAGATTTCATTCTAATTTATTCAACTTGGTTTAAATTTGGATGTTCAAATAGCGACCGAGATAAATTTAGAAGGGCGGGACCACACGTCTCTCTGTTGGGTTAAAAGATATTTTATCAAAGTGTTCACATGTTGAAATTGTCAAGTGATTGGAATTTGAAGTATTGATATCATACATTGATAGGTAGGTAGACTTTCACATTTTCTCTTAATTCAATTTCTTACCGCATTTTACTCGTGATTAATATACCAATAGTACCAATTTCCAAAGAGTTATTTCTTTGTAAATAACATTTTCTTTCGTGTTGAAGAAATTAATTTATCTTGATTGACATGAAAATAATCATAATAATCCGTCGAGCTTGTCGTTGGAAGGCAGATGATTCTCACTCTTCTGGAAGTCCTGATGCCACTTAGCGGCTATGCTTGTCAACTCAGTGTTAGTTTTTGACATAGTAAGTAGTTTAGTTTTAATTTGGTATCTTGAATTGTTAACTCAACATCCCTTCAGGCGCGGTCTACATGGGTAATAACATAGCCTATAAAAAGTATATTGGTACATGTATATCAATTTCTAAGATAGGGCCTAGGCCTATTTAAGTCATTTTACATCTATCTATCTTTGTATAATGTAATTTAAATGAGTAGTGATTAAATGAAGACCAGTCAGATGTTAAGTTTAGCCCGGTTTTGTTGACTTTCGAGTAATATAGCACAACGTATAATAATATTATAACCTAATAATAACTGATTGTGGTCACGACTGATTAATTCACGGCGAACATAGTTGAAACATGGGCTACAGCCACGACAACAAGGTGTTTTTGGGTAGCGATCGAAGAATACAAAGACAAAACATTGACATAAAAGATGACATTTTCGGGCAGCAGACCCACTCCCCGGCCGAATTCGGCTTTCAAAATAGCACACGACCCAAGTTCTTCTCTCTCAGTGCCTTCCATTCTCGACCAGTGCTTTCTAACCAGTATTACTAATTATATTTCTTTCTTTCAGGCATATGTAATAATATTTTTCAACTGAACAATTTGGAGAGGAAAATGATGAAAGATGTGAAAGTATTTCATGAACCACGACGAGGCTAATAAATCAATTTCAATATTTGATGTAGTAGTGTTCAAAAACATATGATATTACTCATGTACCAACAATTTGTGAGTGAAAAACAGTGATCATCACATATTTTAGGGGAGCGAGGCGGAACATAGGAAGTCAATAGAGTGCAGCATTTTATTTTATAGCCTTATAAATAGTTATTGTGATTCTTATACAAATCGAACCGAAAGATAACAGCAACCGATCAAACACCTATAGATAAGTGATCTTGAAATACAATCGATAATCGAACTTACCAACTAGTAGGCCTATCAACGCAGACCAACCTTCGACAGTTATTAGAACCAATCGAACCGAAAGACAATTCTAATCGAAATCATAATGGTACTAGAAATATCCAAGAAAAGATTAAAGTGTGTAGTGGTGGGAGATGATTGGGTCGGTAAAACCAGTATGTTGATGGGGTATGCTACCAACCGATACCCTACCCAGCATGTACCTGCTGTATTCGATAACTATACAGGTGTGTATTGAATTTTTTAAACAAATGGAATGTACATGATTGTATGTAAAATAGTCTTAGATAAACAAAGATGAGATAGTAGCAATCAAATACCATGCTACGATTACGGTTCAGATTAAAAATAAAATCGCGCGAAATTCAATAAAAGCAGAAATAATAGTTGTTGCCATATTGAAACTTGAAATTAAACGGAAATTAGACATCAATTACTAGTGTTTTGTCGCTTTCGAATTAAATTTACTGAATTCTTTTTTCAGGATGTGTGAAGGTGGCAGGAAGAAAAATAGATTTAGAAATAATGGACAGCATTCAACAGGTAAAATAACTTTCAGATTCCGGAACAGCAGACATCACATAATTCTGCAAATTCATTCCATTGTTGTAAAAGCTTATGCATATTTCGATTTTTTTCCTTGTTTCTAACAATTTCTGCATGCTTTGTTTCATTTCATGTAACGATATTTTTCAGGAAAGTTGTGCCGAGTTGTGTCACAATACATTTAACGATACAGATGTGTTTGTTGTTTGTTTCTCTGTTGTACAACCAGATTCTTTGGAAAACGTTCAAAAACATTGGATACCTCATATCAAAAACATGGCACCCGAAACACCATTTGTGTTGGTCGGTACACAAGCTGATCTACGTCAAGCAGATTTTCTTCTTACTGAATTACATCAACAAGGAAAAGAATTTATAAGCCAATCCGACGCTGATGAAATGGCGCGAAATTTGGGCGCCACCTGCTACGTCGAATGTTCTCCTGGAGTTGAGAAACAAGTGCGCCAAATTTTAAATCGTGCCTTAGCAACCGTGATTCAGGAAACCATGACATCAAAACAGTGTGTTATTTTGTAAGTGTCTGGGTGATAAAATAAGTATCGTTCCTTCTTTGAATGCAGGACCTCAGGTTCTTTTATTGGTGCCTTGTCAGCCTGTTAATAATATTTGTCTTTACTTAATTGTGCCATTCTTCACGACCTAGGAAGAAAGTGCCAAATTGTGTTGAAAACAAAGTGCCTCGATGAAAACGACTTTTCAAGCAAGCCAACTGTGATAGCCTTGTGCCATAATTACCATTCCATGATCATGTACTTTCCTTTTGATACCAGTATATTAATAGTCGTCTGTATATTTCTTATGCCAACTGAAAAAGCCTTATTAACAATTTTCATTGTCATGTATTTTAAGTATGTTTGTAATCAAATCAGAACTAATCACAATTATATGTTATTTTATTTTAAGCAAATGATCAAATGATGTATAGTTTTATTACATTTCATGAAATCTCTGATTTCATTTTAATTAGAGCGTTTCATTCTTTCCACCGACTTTCTATATTTTCTGTATTCAGAAGACTATACCCCTGTAAAGTGGATTCAATAGCCTATCCTGAGCATTTGATCTGCTCGAAACGCTCATATAAAGAAATTGACCGAGATTTTGATTGCTCGTCGACGACACACCACAACGTTATTTACTTGAAGTCTTGTATACAACAAGGATTAATCACTATTTACAGGTGGATGTTGTCAATCGATTTATAATCTTTCTCAAATATGGAAGAAGGCATGTCGCAAAACCTAACTATTGAAAGGGAAAATACGATACCATAATAGTATCGCATTGCAATTTACTTTAGAATTTGAAGTGAAATACAAATTTAAGTAAACAATCTATTTTCCATGGAACTAATGTAGTTTTCTGAAGAAAAATGGTCCAGAAACGTTGCAATCTGTTAACAACGGATTCACGAGGACTTCGTTGCGCAAAATATCTAGCCATGGATTGTATGAAACGTTACGAAGAATTACAGGGAAATAGATAATGACGTGCGATCACCCCGTGTGGTCTGGTATCGAGTATAATTACACTCGGTCTTACCATTCCATTTGAGCAACTCGCTACTCATTAGCGCATTGATATTTATACAAAATATTAATTCTTACAAGAAAGGGGAGATTGTAGCTTGCTAATAATTTGATGGCGCCATTCTCTGATTAAATAAGGAAAATGGTGACCAAGAGTTACATTTTGATCAGTGATGAAAGTTTAGCGGTGAGAAAATCTTCTTTCCTTATCAAAATAGTCAACATCAGTACATACCCATATAAATGGGCACTGATTATCCGAGGAATACCAATTTGCTCGATCTAGGACAAGTTAGGCAGAATCCTTAAGAACCTAACATGAAGCGGTCTGAGGTCGATTCACAGCATCGCAACGTATTAGTTGCATTCAACATATACGCCTCGACAAATTATCCAACTTCTAACAACTGCGACCATCTTAACGGTCGAAAAAACTGAGCGCACGGCTCGATAACCAAAACAACTTTTATTCATGAGGCGGCAACTTTTCAGACATCTATTAATTCAGGTCGACTAAGTTCAACAATTGATCAGATAATCTTGCGTGCTTTCAGTTGTTAGCAGTTGTTTACAATGCAGATGTTCTCTGGGTCACCCTGGGTCCCTTTTAGTTGTTATCTTGGTAAAAGCAAGGCAAGTCAGGATCCTCGAGAAACTAAGATGTTTTCCTTATAGTGAATTAGTGAATTCATTTCCAAGAGGTTGACAACATATTTACTTTAAAACCGATAATTTCATCAGTATATTTCCATATATGGCGTCTTGGGATTAACAACTCAACAAATTTAAAGGACAGCTCATCGTCTGGGGTATATTATAGTTATCACTTTGTCTTCTTCGTTTCACGACCGCGAGAAGATTGGTGCTAGAATCACAAAGAGGCAGTGTGGGAAGGGCACAACCCTCAACGACTCCATTTTCCTTTCGGTGATAACAATTCTGTAGATTGCTGAAAAAAGCATTATTTGATTTTCAGTAGCCATACTCTGACGTAAATTGGTATTGATGACTGTACCACACAAACAATATTATCTATGTTAACGCGCTAAAGAGAATACTTACTTGATAACCTGTTCTCAGCGTGGCATCTGGTGTCTCGGAAAGAAAAAAAATGTCATGCAATATTTATGTTCCATGATTTTAACAGAAAATTCTGTGTGCTTTAGTGGCTGTTTTAGGATTAAGCCAAATCATCTGATGTACACGAATCTTTCTTTAATATAATAGGACAGTAAATTGCTTTTACTATCACTCCATTGAACTATAAAGAGATGTTAAAAATTTCGAATGCAGATGAATAAGTTGCCAGAAAATCATTTTTTCCATCTGAGAAAGTTTCAATGTGATACATTAACACCTAACCATTCATTGGCGCTCTAGTTTATATTTTAGTCTCAATAAAGCTCAGGAGATCATCGATTTCCACATTCATTAAGGCCAGAGCAAGGCTTGAAAATGGTTTCAATCTTTCAACTAGAGCAGTATGCCAATATTCATATCTCTTTCGGACTAATTTTCTCTGCGGACTAATATCAGATTACTGATGATGGTAATAAATAAAAAAGGGAGTAATTTGTACACGTTATTAATGTGTGTAATAGAGATCGCTGTAGCGGATCGATATCTATCAGTTCCAAACGCCGTTACCTAGTAACGTAATAAAAATCAATGTCAAGAATTTTCAAAGATTTGTCTCAAGAAAGAGGGAAATGAACCGATCTTCTGCACTAGAGAGTGGAATAGTGATCCTGTCACGGTGGAGCCCAAAATATACCTTTCATTACAGCAGGTAAGATTGTCTTTTTATTTCATTTCAATTAAATGTTCGATCTGCAAACTTAACACCACCAAAGTATATGAAAAGTCAAGAGTTAATTTTGTCACCAAATCAGAGCTCAGCTCATATCTGCTGGGTTTACCATATGGTGACAGTTAGAACAGGCTATTGCGTTTTCACGAATTGGTTATAACGAGTATCAGATCATTTGGTACATGCTTTCGATACGATGAATGAATGTTCCGGCGGATTCCTAAACTTTCTGGGTTTTTTTCATTACATGTATATGTATTAAGTATTTGGCCCCTTTTTGGTAAGCAGGATAACGATTTATGGGCGTTTTGTTTTCTCTCAGAACATGCCACTATGTCGAAACATCAGACATTTAGACCTTATGCCAATCAGTTTTTTTTGTGCGACATTTCTCCTCGAGAGTCCATATAGCAATTAAGTGAACTTGGTTTGTCGCTTTGTCAACTCTGCACGTCACGCCTTTCAGAGAGTCCACATAGCTAAGGAGCTATTATATGAGGACAAACAGTGCATATAAACTGATATTTAATCAGTCATCTTGAAGTGATTCGAAGTTATAAGTCTTGGCTAGTTAGTTATTAAACGACTCAAGAATTTTGAATGATCTAACCGAAGGTTTTAAATGACTTCCGTAGTTTTTCAATCAAAAAATCTACAGTGATTAATGTGGCTTCAAAGGATATGTGATGTATTTGATATCCATTACTTGCATGATTTCAAAAGATTTTCAGAATTTAATGTGGTTTTATTTTCACCCGAATTCTTTATTCATTGCGAATCATTAAGAGTACAAGTCCGAGAGCAAAACTGGTCTGTAAGAAAACCGAGAACATCTTGCCTTGATTGAGATTCGAACCTTCATCGCCTTATTTGAGATATTTGAGGTAAGCACTGGCACTGACATCGTAATCGTTCCTACCTTCAGATTGAGGATTCGAACCAGAGATAAAACAACCTTCACAAAAGTAATAGTATATCACAAAAGTAATAGTATGAGGTTTTGTGAGTTTACTTGTAATAAATAATGAACATGAAATAAAAGCCATTCTGAGAATGCCATGGCTATTTTGAAGTTGGCATTCAAATTAATGAAAAAGTTTTCAGTAAAATTCATTTTAACGACGAAATTGCGAACATTGCAGTTGTGAAATTCTTGTATTACGAAATAATAGGCCTACACGACGTGCTTGTTGGTATGTGGCAATTTGATAATGTAGTTGTCACAGTTAGTAGATAGGCAAAACCGCTTCTATTTTATCTGACCATGTCTGACAAGTGAAAATTAACACATTGAGATTGATTCTGTTGTATATCATCTTCAATTCACTATATTGTTAAGGTATTACGAATTTCGTCTCATACCTTGACTTTTGTAGCCACTATTCTTGTATCACAAATTGCAGCGATTTGTCAAATACCTCGACAGAAAGACAGACTTTCTGACGAATGATCTAATTAGCTGTATTCACAAGCATACAATCCAATCAAAATTACTGCATTTACAAACTTCCGTGATACAAGAACACTGGCTATTGTAGTCAAGGTATAAGACGTATGGTAATACCTTGGCCATTGTGAATATTATGTTGGTATACAGATTAGAATATATTCTACCCCATACCAACACAGACCAATGCTTCTCAACCTCCTCGGAAGAGTTTTTGCAAATCTGTTCCTCTCCGAAATAAATCAGTCACACGAAAAATATATTCAAAGATTAACCATGAATGGATACAAAATCATAATAGTCGAGATAGTTCAATGTTTGCCTTGGGCGGATATTCGTTCACGATTTTCTGTATTTCCGCAGTGAATGACGTCAATTGTCTCTTATTTCCTCTCCGGTCTGACGATTCCTCCCCATCCCCCTGGCAATAATTTCTACCAATGGTCCAATTCCTCCCTTGTTGAAGCACTGACATAGACTGCTTTTCTTTAAAGTTTTGATAGTTAAGAAAGTGTAAAAATCTCTGATCTCTGATCAATATCTAGAAGAATATCAAGCTGTCGACATCATTGTGAATCTTCCTGTTCATCGTCTGACGACTCAATCATAGCTAATCTTGTTTATTATACCGAGATGATCTTGATCATTAATCTAATTATTTTAAGGCGATGTAGTCTTACTGGCTGGGTCCGACTAAAAGCTCAAACAAGAGCAGCCAAGCGCAAACAATGAAACCATATAAACAGCATAACAGAAAGCGCAAACATCTTAACTAGAAAACAAACCGCAAACAAAGCGCTGATTGCTTAACCAGCTGCTTAATCGCCAAAAGTCGTTGAGATATTTGATGATCAATATCAGGTTTAAGTTCCAAAATGACTGTTTGAATAAATGTTCGACCTAAGATTTGTCTTCAATTGTAATGAGTTAAGGTGCGGGCACACAAGCGGTCTTGGTTGGAGATTTTTGTCTCCGACTCGAATCTTGAGTAAAATCTCGCGTGTGCCCGTACTTCCATGGCAAGATTATCGTGTCGCCGACAAGAGTTTGATAATTATCTCCGATAGTTTTATCGTCTGCAAGACAGATCGTCATCATCCAATCTTAATCCCTTTCCTTTCCATTGCACGTGATTATCGACAAGGTGGAAAATGACCAACTGGATATTTTTGTCTCTTAGTATGCCCGTTCCAGCCGTTGAAACTCAAGACAAGACTCTAATCGGAGACAAAAATCAAAGAAAAAATAAATCTGCTTCCAACAGTGGTGACTTATAACCGTGTCTATAAATTATGTATATATATTGTTTTGTATATTATATATATGTCTGTTGTGTATTATGTGCCTGATGGGTCATTGACTCAAATGGAATAAAGAATTGAATGTCGATGATTAATTTTAGATTTCAGACATCAACGTGTACTAATTAATATTATAATTAATAATATTAATTAGCATGAGGTATTGATCATCTTCTCTGTATAGGATTTTAAATGGAATATAAACCGAAAGGAAATTAAAATGATATGAATAAATTAAGAATAGTAATAGTATAGCTGCATGTCAAGCTGGTTGGTTGGTAGATGACAAATTAACGTTCGCTTCCAGCGGATTCTGATGTCGCAAACTAGGTAGTTGTTGGTGGATGTCAAGCTATTACGATGTGGCGTAGAGAAGATTTCATTAAAGTTTGTAAATGCGGTAATTTGATTTGATTGTATGCTACCGATCACAGCCAATCAGGGTCGTTGACAGAAAGCCTGTTAAGCTTAAGCCATAATTTTTTTTATGTCGCATGCCCTGATTGGCTATATTTTCTAGCGTTCAATCCAATCAAATTGCTGCATTCCGTGATACAAGAGCCCAGTGAAATCAAGGTATAAGCCGCAGTTTGTAATAGCTTGACAAGATGATGTCTATAAATACAGGTCATGCTGATCCTTCTGAGACACCTTGTGTAGTGTCACTCTGGCTCTGATTTGAAAACTCACTGTCAGAGAATCCGAATAACTAATAATGGATTAGCATAATGGATTAGCAATTCAGAAAAACTCGAAAATAAATCTAATTTTTATTCTCTTTTAGAATTTGACATTTCAGTATAAAAGACAGCTCAATTTGCGATAAAATAGAAAAGCGTTAAACAACTATGTAGTACAGTATTCATTGATTTAGAATTAATAACATCAACAATTTTAACTCCCGATGTAGATTAATTGTCTTTGATAGAACAGAAATAGATGCTTCATGCTTTTAACTGTTTAATTTTAGAAAATTATCCTTCACACAAATTAGAGTTAGTTCTTGTATAGTTGGTATTTTTAGTTAATTGCTTCTTTAAAACACGTTGAAAACAACACTTTCTAGTGGTAATATTGGACAATAAACAATATAAGTTTTCTAAAATAAGCCAATCACGGAAATAGAAAACGATTAGCTGAGCTATGAACGGTTATTGAGTCATGCAAGTACAGAATTGTAATGGAAATTTTAAGATTAAAAATATGCCTAATTTTTGCCCTTGCTTAATATAGCAAAATCTTCATGAGAACACCAGATTGGGCTAATGAACAGACAATGACATTTTGCCAGAACAGCAAATCAATTTTCTATTTCTATCTGTGTCTAGCAACCACAGCGTCTGTTTATTGTTCAATCTGATTGTCTTATTGCCCTTGGTCGTCTGATCAGGAAGGAAATACAAGAAAAGGGGGTCTACGATTAAAATTGACGTCATTCACCTTGGATATACAGACAATCGTGAACGGACATTCGACCCAAAGCCATTCATTCATGGTAAATCCTTGAATACATTTTTCGAGAAAAATACGTAATAGATACGAGTAATAGATCTGGAAGAACTCTTTCTGGAGGAAAGATATCGCTGAGGTTAGGAAGCATTGATTAACTATATTGGTTCATTCTCTTTAAGACAAAAATGTCATTACATAGGTTGCGCTTTGATACTGATTTAAATTGTCAGAGACGAGAATTTCGTAATAAAAAAAAAACGTTTAGGAGAGAATTGTGGTATTTCGTGTTAGAATGAGTCTGTAACTTTGATATTTTATTTCCAATGAATCTAACAAAGATAATTTGTCAATTTGTTTGTGTCATAAATCAGTGTTTGTAATTTTCGTAGCAAGTAGCGGAAGGCGTGAAGTAAGCTGATAATATTTCTAAATTACAGCTTTGGCACAATACAAGAGCGAAAAAAATCCATTTAATAAGCACCCATTGGCACAATAAGGTTCCAATGTTTCATTTTCTTAATAGAAAAAAATACATCCAATTCGCCCATACGATTTGAGATAATTGGGCATAGCCCGTCGTTTCAATAACTCAGTAAGATAATGAACAGAACGCCATTAGATTAACCCAATAAAGTATACTACAAAATGGCTTTAAAACTCAATAAAGTTTACTACATTATGGCTTTAAAAACCCAATAAAGTTTACTAAAAAATGGCTTTAAGCTCCAATTTCTTTTTAAACTGTCGTGAATGAAAAATGAAATGTCCTTGAAAGTAAACGGTATTGATAAAGGAAGCAATTATGAGTTCCAACATGGAGTATTACATAAGATTGGAAGTGAATTACTTGTCCCTCGGTTTAAATTACTAGTCCCCAGATTCATTGTAAATACTTACAAACAATAGGCCTGACAGTCTAATTCGCTCTTGAACAAAAGGTCACTCCATCGAGAGTTCTCATTTCATGAATTGAAATATTAAATTCTTTAGATGGTGTCACCTTCACATTTTTCTTTGTATGGAATGGATCTATAGCATACCAAACTATCAAGCTAGCATCTTCACAATGATAATATATTGCGAAATTCGTCTCATACCTTTACTACAATAGCCACCTTCCTTGTATCACGAAATTCGATATTTGATTGGATTGTACGCTAGCGAATATAGCCAATCCGACCCCTCGACATAGGGACTGTAAACATCTTGTCTGTTGGCTGTAATCGCTAACAATCCACTCATATAGCTACATTGACAAACCTCCATGATACAAGAAAAGTGGCTATTGCAGTCAAAGTATGAGACGAAGTTCGTAATAGCATGACTTTGTGAAGATGACTAGACGTACAATGATTATAATGTTATCTGTGATCAGAGCATGCCAAGCTATCGATTACAATCAAACAAGTTTCTAGTTACAACGGTAGTTTTCTGTGTTCAGAATCGAACTAGAACATTCAAACTATCGTCCTCAACTAGCTAGTACATGGTACTATACTAGTTTTATGTAGTCAGAATAGACTACAACATGTCAAACTATTGCTTCCAATCGTTATTTGGGCCATAACAATCTATTGTATCCGTCCAATTAGCAAGCTGATCGCTTGGCAAATATCACTGTCAGTTTTCTGTGGTCTTGCAGTTTTTCGGCTTTTGAATCATTGTTAGCCGTTGTAAACGAATGGCGAACTGGATTATCGAGTTAACTTTGATTAACCTTAGGAGGCTAATCCGGTGTCAAAGAGTGACAATTGAATAGGTTGATATTGTTTTTGTTATTCGGAGTCATAGATCAGATAAAAGGACATGTGCCAACTATTGTCTGTATACTGCCACTCATCGTTGTGCTCATACACGCAGCAAGAAACACACTAGGATAAAAGAGCAGTACCCCACCCGAACTTTGGAAGATCGTGTGTCTGAATTATTCCGGATAGTTGGAACATTTTCTTTTATTTCTTCGCGGGAAAAGTGTTTTCTGAAAATATGGAAGTAATGGTTTGTTAATGTTTATTTTTTTAAACTTTCTTTTTTTTACAATGTACAACCCAATACAAATAACTGCAGCTACAAACTTTCGTAATATTTTAGTCAAGATATTAGACACAGTTCGTAATGGCTTGACATAGTAAAGATATTTATCGGGTCACTTAATACTTAACTTAAGTTACACCTTTCCTACTTTCGATTATTGCCAATTAAAATACTGGAAAACTTGATTAGATCACAACATCATGAATAAAGTTCATTGGATCTACAGGAACAACAGACATTTAATTGGAAAGGTCAAAATGTAAGCTCCAATAACCCAAAACACTTTCAGACCATCTTTCTTGCCTCAGTTAGTGATTTACACGAATTTCAGTCTAAAAAGAAACATGTCCTGACTAGGTGTTATGAAAACAGAGAGGATCGATTTTAACAAGGGAAAAGATGCCATGAAAATATATTTCGACCATGGAAACATTATTTGGTTAAATAATGTGATAATGTTTTGACCTTTAAAATAACCTCAAAGAGTTCCTGAAAGGTGTTTAACTAGTATTGACAGCCCACAGTTACTTAAACGTAATAGACACAATGTATGCAATGGGGTTGACTGGCCCGGCTTTGTCTCCCATCCGAGTTCTAATGTCTTATCATTATTAAATGCTTGTTGCTGCCCCTATTTGACAATTTCGTGAATCCTCCGTCTACTGATTCATAAAAAGCGAGTGAATGAGTTCTATTTTGAAGCTACGCATTGGAATACTTCTAATTTTTAAATCGTTCATCATTACACGGAATTTTGCATTATTGGCTGCTGATGTGTTCTATCACATGAAAAGATGACTGCATCTCTTCAACTACTGGACGACATGAAATCTGATCATAAAGTGTGTCTATTAACCATATTGATCAGTCTCATTATAAAAACCGGATAAATATATTTTTCTCCAGGCGGACAGATTCTAAAATAGGGAAATTAACCGGTCGGCGATCCTGGTTGAGTATAGAAGTCAGTTCAAAACATAAATTGCCTTCAGGTCTTATTGCTTGATAGACATGAATGACATGGAGTTCTTATTATGTCTAACCGATATTTTACTTCTGACCTTACTGAAAGGCGTGAATAGTCTGTCTTAAAAACAATTAGTTTTATTAGTATTTAATGAAACTAGTATTTTGAAACTCTTCACTACCGGAAGCCAGTCTAAGATATTTTTTTTTACGACTTACTACCGAGAGAATATCGCACAACAGGCCTAAACTATCTTAAGAATATGGACAGCACTATACTTGACACTAGAGTTCAAGATTTGCTGAATTCTGAATTAAAATCTTCATTCAGATTCTGCCACAATTCAACACAACTACAATTTAGACCATTGCCACTCTCTACTTGTTATTTGCTTGCATTTCTAATTATAGTATGATGGTACCATAATAACCGCTTTCGAGTTTGAAGTGGTGAGATTTTGTTCAATTTATTTCAGAAGAACCAGATGTCAGATTTATATCCTTAGATGTGATACGGATAGTTCAATTCTTATTATCTTTCAAAGCGAAAGCGAATATTTTGGTGACTGCCAAACAGGGAGCTCTACATAATTATTCAGGTCCAAAATGTTGAATATCGAATTAAGACTTGTCAGAATTGTGCAATTACATGGCTGCTGACTTGGTCAAATAGATGATGTCAGTCCCTGTTTAAACTTGGTCTTTATGTAACTATCTAATGATATTCGATCTCTGAGAATCAGACAAAATTCCCTCATTTCAAATCCTTTGAATAATTAAGTCTGGGCAAGAGAAAATCGTTAATTTACATTATCGCCGAATTACATTTTCCATTCGCCATGTTTATTTTTTACTGCTGATAATCACATCTTCTCGTTTCTATGACAACGCTGAAGAAAGACAAACTCTTCAAATTCTTGTTATTGATAGTTCTCTGTTTTATTTCAGACCAAGAAAGATGTCGGATTTAATACCCCGATTCCTATGACTACACTAAATTCAACCTCGACGGAAGTGATCTCACAAGGCCAGTCATTACTATGGATACCATATGTTGTCATAGCGACGGTGTTTTTAGGATTCCTTGGTGTACATTTCTGGTGCTACCACAGAAAGAATCAAGAAAAACTTAGCCGGAAGTTGGACGAGAAGCGAGTGAAAGCCGGTTTGTTTGAAAAACGCAGGATGGAAAACTCAGTGGACAGTCTGCAAACGGTAAACGCCAACTGTAACGTAGTTAATGAAGTCGGAAATGCGACCAAAAACAAAGTTCCGGTTACCAAAAACAGTATGAGTCTCCCTGTCGTCAATAGTTATACTAATGATTCTTTGCAATCTAATTACCACACATTTTCACGCAGTGGTACATAAGTGCTTCCATTTATTTTATTCAAATATCGTTTTCAGAAATCTTCGGTGAAGTCAGAAATTCCGATTTACGTCAAAAAAGATGTGTGTGTGCGGAAATAATTAAGGTTGAATCAAAAGATATAAATAAATACAACGGTCAACATTCTCGGAATTCGAACGCAATATCTGTTATCAACTGTGATGTGATTCATTCTCCGTCGTGCGAAGTATTTTATCTGTTGTATATGGCGGACCCAGATTGTCAACACGTGCATAATCGTTTTTTAAGTTCAGCATTACAACGCCTAAGGTAGAAAACATTTGAACGAGTCAGTGATTTCTCGTTTCGTTTTAACCATTCCAACATTTTAATGTGTCGTAAAACAAATCTATCTGAAACGAAACTTAAAAACTACCGAGTCGAGCTTTAACAACAAAACAGACGTTGCAATCTCCAATGCCCTGAAGAATTGTCATAGAACAAATTAGTAATTGTTTGGATTTGTAATAGTTTACAAGTGGTAGCTTACTTCATCTTCATCTTCCATGCCCTCAATAATTGTCTAGGTCATCCTGGATAATAATGAATGATTTATTATTAAACAATTTTATTATAAAATAAAAGATGATCAAGTTCACGATATCAGTTTCGTGTAGGGAACAGCGTTTAGTGAAATCGGTGGTTTTTGTTGTCTTAGGGTGCTGGACCTCGTTGTCAGAAACATTGTATCCTTAAAACTTTCTACATTGCATTACTTATATTGCTGGAACCTAATTTTCGAAAACTCAAAACCATTAAAATAGTATAACGTTATGTTTAAATTAAGTTAATTGGTGATCCTTTAACTGATTTACAATGTGATTTAAACTTATAAAAATAATATTCAAGACAATATGTCTGTTATTCCAATCCCTCCTTACCAGCAACCCGGAAGTTAAAAACTGCACAATTTGTGACCTTTGGTTGCCTTGGTTAATTCTGTAGGAAAGGATATAGTATCAAGTATTAACTGTATGTTTTTACAGCATTAATTGAGTATATATTTTTTTATTTGTAAAGCCCCGCTTTTACGTGAAAAATAAAACAATAAAATATCAGATTTGTTCTGTTTTAAACAGGGTGAATATAGTATTCTTGAATATATAGAATTCTGTTCAGCATTGTTTCATTAACAAGATCCCAAAGAGCTTTCCTAGACTTTGCATTCGAATCGGGGAAACTGTTTTATCATTCGATTTCCAGTCGAGTTTTTTAAGGTGTTTGGTGGGGAAGGGGTATATTAACATCATTACCTGACTAAAGACCCTGGACTAAAGACCACCAGTGACTCAGATACAATACGAGCAATAAATCCCATTTCTCCTGAAGATGACAATGTAGATTGTTGAAACGTAGTGTGTAATAAAACTGGAGTAGTATACCATAAAATTGTGTCCGTTATTTAATGTGATCTCTACTCCTAAATGTCGCTAAAGGATTATTTTATATTGATGACTAAACGTTTTAAAGTGGATGTTCGTACCAATTTGCAGGTTGTGATTTCAAATACTTATATTATATCATAATCGTAATGTTAAGTTGAAAATTGAACATTTAAATATTTCTAAAAAGTTTTTGAATTAAATGAAATTTATATAACAAGGATTATTGAATTGACATTAATGAAAAAAAAATTAAATTAGGAACTAAAATCTATACATTGTTTGACACTAAGAGAAACGATATAGACACAGTTGCTGGTTGTATGGATCTCCCCTAATTAATATACTGTAAATATATTATTAAATACATAACGGATCATTTTAAGTTTGGATAGGTTAGAAGTACAAGCTTAATACTTGTTAATAATATCTCAATATTTTAATTCCATATAAAAATATTAAATAAAATAAATTAAATAATACGAATTAAATAAATAAATAGTTTCTATCAAGGTTATTCGGTAAATATTGCTACAAAATGAAACCACAACACATTTTACTTATTCTTTAAAATTTCAGTTCGACTGTCACTAATATGTTTTTTTAATCGTTGAATTTCATTCTTAAGCGTTTCATTTTGTTTTTGTAACTGGTAAAACTCCTGGAAAGACAAACAAATTTTACAATGATTATCAGACTTGTGAAGAAATAACCAAGTTGTGCTTTCTCCTCCACGCCCGTGGTTCATGTAATTCCATATTATAAACTCGGCCAGATTATGACATCACTATCGGAGAAACACAATTGACTTTTACATATCACGTTATAATCCATCTTCACAATGTCAAGCTATTACGAACTCCGTCTTATACCTTGACTGCAATAGCCACTATCCACCGAATACAGCCAATCAGAGTCTTTGACAGAAAGACTGTAATCATTATGGATTGGCTATAATTGAATCCAATCAAATCGTACTTACAAACTACCGTGATATAAAAATGATGGCCATTGTAGTCAAGGTGTAAGACGCAATCCGTAATAGCCCAACATTTATTATGGTCATAATTTTTCCTTGTTTGTACGTATGTGAAATTATAGGAACGATAGACGTCAGATCGGAATTGTGAATGTAAAAAATACATGCAACAATTAATAAACCTCTTTCGAACCCCTTTAACGATTCTTAACGCACAATTGAAGGTTTTATTTTGAATCGTAAATCCAATTGACAAATTAAAGTTGGCGACCTCTTTAAACATCTTCGGTTAATTTTGATTTTGATTCAGTACTAAATGTAAGGCAAAAGAATCGGCAAACAACATGGACACTTCCCATTCTGAAAGCTTTTGAAATTTCTTGAACTTACCCTCTCTAATAGTTCAACTCTCGTCTTGGATTTCTGTCGACTTTTCTTGGCCGATTGTTTATTCTGAAGTCTTCTGGCATTGATACGTTCTATTTCGGTTGGAGTTAGCTAAAAGGAAAAAACATGGAGTAACATAACTACATTCTGACCACAGAAAACGGTCATTGTATGTACCATGCAATAATCCACGCTGAAGCTGAAATCGACTACTATTTTGGAAAAATCAATTAGACAGTAAACTTTTCGACATACTCTTGCTCTCTCGACAATTGTCCATCGGATTTTAAATATTTTGTCTCGCTGTAACTAATCATCTATCAAGCTTAAGCCAGAAATTCCAAGAATAAGTTCTGAAAATAATTGAGATTATCGGTTGTTGGAACTATTTTGATTTAGATAGTTTCAATACATGTACGTTTTATACAATATAATTAGCAAGTATTTGTATAAAGACAGCCAAATATTCGTACATTGAGATCAATGACCCTTCACTGCCATCGTGTCACAGTTCGTTTGCGAGATTGGAACGCTATGCCATAATGACGCGAGGGAATGTGTCATGTTCACAGTCAAGAGGTCTATTTAAATCTACCGATCAATATCAGTCGTTTCTTTGGTGACCAGACAGATTCCCCCCTCCCCCTCAACACACGCACTTCCTCCTTCCCCCTCAAACCCCGCGCCCCCACCCCACACCCTAGTAATCCAATCGTAGTTACCCCCCCCCCTCCTATCCTCCCCCGTCTATACGCCCATTTCCCTCTCCCCCGCCCCTGAGAGCGCAGCCTAGTAACACAATCATAGTTAGTAATAAATAATAACTCACCTCGTTTTTCGTTTCTTTTTTCAACCAAATATTTTTAACATCAATCGATTGATTCGTGTTTTTTAATCTTTTTAACACAAAACTTTGAAGTGAATCCTTTAAATTTGAGCATATCGGTAGTCTATGTTGAGTTAGGGCCATTGTGAAAATCGTACGTTTGATACTCATTCTCTGTGAATCAGATTTATTTGAATAATAACTGAATGATTACGTGGGATTTATTTTTAGAAACAAAGTAAACATTACATATCATCATCTCTATTTATAGTAACAGACATGACTGTTTAACAAAGACTATCCTTGACATTTTTAAAGTTCACGCAACATTAAAATTTGTGCATTTTAATTAACCAAATAAAACGAATGATCTACAATAGTTCCTGAATATGATACGCTTTAGAATTAACTAAAAAAAACTTGTAAATATTGGGGATTCCAAAAATTGTATGCGAGAGATGATACATTCTTGTGTAAGTTGCTACAAATATACTCAGAAAATCGTTTATTTCACTATTATTGGATTTGATATTGATAAGATATAAATTACGAACGTTTTTTTCTAAAACTTAAGGTGCATTTATACAGCGAACGCGAACGCGAACGCGGTTTTTCGTCATGGAATGGTTTCATCATTTTATAGAGGGACCGTTCAAATAGAATGCGAACGCGAACGCGAACAAATATTTGTTCGCGCGATCGACCGCCGAGATTGCCCCAAGAGCGAATTTTTCAGAAAGTCGCGGCGGATTTCTTGCTATCAACCAATCAGCTTGTACCACCTCCCTTGCATCATTTTCTAAAATAGAAACTTGTGCACATGGCTTTTCCAATTTGCTTGTAGGGTACAAACAATGGATAAAACGGAAGTTTTGATTTTAGAAGTTGAAAAGAATCCAGTTTTGTTTGACAAAGCTGAAAAAACTTACAAAGAGACAGTAAAAAAGAAAGATATTTGGAAGGAAATCGGAGAGATGATTCCAAAATGACCATATGACCAAATTTTAACAACAAAAGAGGCGATCCGCATTGAAAGCCGTCGACGGTTTTCCGCGTTCGTGTTCGCGCTCTATTTGAATGACTGAACTGATGAAAAGTCGCGTTCGCGGTCGCGTTCGCGCCGGTCGCGTTCGCGTTCGCGCTCTGTATAAACCCACCTTTATAGCATAGTCTATAATAAAGACAAAAAGAACCTCTAAAAAAACATTAGGTCGTATTGAAATTAACTGTAGTCTGGTCGTCCTAAAAGAGATTTCTATCCCTTTAGCTACACATAAACCATATACTTTTTAGGAACAAGAGATATTATACCATTTATTTGTAGTCTGACAATTAAATTGAGTTATGTCCCTTTCATTACAAGTTGAAATTACTTCACTTTTCTACCTTTTTATGCGTTCGCTTCTCTTTTGTGTTCCTTCAGCAACGGAGTACAGGTAGGCCTACGACGTTTATCAGAAGTGAGAAACTGTTGCTAAAGGAACATTATTTCTATTTGATCTGCTCCTTACTTGAGTACAGTATCCAACAAAACGGATAATTATTATTTCTTGTGAGATCTGTTTCTAAAAATTTACCATTAACAATAGCTCTGAGGGATGAGCAGAAATTAAAAGATAAAGCCAGGTATGATACGGTGATATAATTTGAAGAATGATGACGACTATGATTGGTCTATACCAATAACAATATTTCTTATCAGTACCATATCATGTTCTGTTGTCTTATTAAAATGAAATCACCATGTTATTCAGGGGGATGGGGATATGTATGATTTTCTTGCATTATGCCCGAAATTACAATTGGTCAAAAGCTTTCTAGTTTGAAAAATCATTCGATAGCATTTTTCATGGTTATCTACGGGATAAGCAGGGATTATAACTTCAGATAAAACTCGGGAAAAAATTGAGAAAAACTGGCGTCAATGTAGGCCCGGACATCTCTCCAGATTAGTAGTTCAGAATGGTAAAATCAGGTTAGTAGAAGAAAATGGTAAAACCAAGTTAGTAGTGCAGAATGGTAAAACCTTATCATACCAGGTTTTATCTTTTAATTTCTGCTCATCCCTCAGAGCTATTTTTAATGGTAGATTTTTAGAAACAGAGCTCACAAGAAATACTAATTATCCGTTTTGTGCAGAATGGTAAAACCAAGTTAGTAGTGCAGAATGGTAAAACCAAGTTAGTAGTGCAGAATGGTAAAACCAAGTTAGTAGTGCAGAATGGTAAAACCAAGTTAGTAGTGCAGAATGGTAAAACCAAGTTAGTAGTACAGAATGGTAAAACCAAGTTAGTAGTTCAGAATGGTAAAACCGAGTTAGTAGTACAGAATGGTAAAACCGAGTTAGTAGTACAGAATGGTAAAACCAAGTTAGTAGTGCAGAATGGTAAAACCGAGCTAGTAGTTCAGAATGGTAAAACCAAGTTAGTAGTACAGAATGGTAAAACCAAGTTAGTAGTTCAGAATGGTAAAACCGAGTTAGTAGTACAGAATGGTAAAACCGAGTTAGTAGTACAGAATGGTAAAACCAAGTTAGTAGTGCAGAATGGTAAAACCGAGCTAGTAGTACAGAATGGTAAAACCGAGTTAGTAGTACAGAATGGTAAAACCAAGTTAGTAGTGCAGAATGGTAAAACCAAGTTAGTAGTTCAGAATGGTAAAACCAAGTTAGTAATGCAAAATAATAAATCCAAATTCCATTTCCTTCTTTGGTCGGTATTCCAGTCAAATATCTTGATTGCAATGGCAAAGATCCAGTTCGTAATAGCCTGTCATAGTAATATAGGGTAGTTTCTTCCTTTTCTTAATTTCTCAAATTCGATTAAATTTACAATAAGAAATTGACTTAACTGACAACATTATCTAAATTATCAAAATTAATATAATTTACCATAACAATTTACACAGGAAAAACATTGTAAAAGATTTAAAAATCGACTAACAATGAACTTGGCAATTAGAAAGATTGTTAATAATTTTTTTAACGATTCTTTACTGAAAAGATTGTGTTAGGGTAAGACTAATCAGACAATATAAACAGTACAATAGGGGAATTATCAAGCACGAAATCCAGCCCAATCAGCCTTATTAGTCTCTTAATAAAAATAAAACAGTAAATTTTTGATAAATCTCAGTTTAAGACTATAAAGTTCTATGGGCAGCGTCTTGTCCGATATCATAAAAGATTCAGATAACCATGTCCATATGACGTTTCAAGCAGCAGAAATATTTTATTGATCTTAGTCATAGTGACATCCAAATCTAGCCAAGATTTTCAATAACTTTATCGGAGCCATAAACGTTAGATGGAAAATCAGAATGGTGAATGCAGCAACCATATATCATCTTCACAAAGTCAAGCTATTGCGACCTTCGTCTTGTACCTTGACTGCAATAGACAGCGTACAATCCAATCAAATTGCTGTAGTAACAAACTTGTGTGCACCAAGAATAGTGGCTATGTCATTCAAGGCATAAAACGAAGTTCTTAATATTTAACAGTGTGAAGATGCAGCTCAATGAAAACTGGATCTTTGAAATAATACTGTTGAAGATTGGATTAAGACAGAGCTGTTTACAGCTAGGCTATGTTCTTGGGTTAGAAAATAAAACAATAAAAACAATAAAAATTGACTTGAAGACATAGTTTTGATAATGACACCCAACTTTACAGTCGGAAACCAATAAACTGAGTTCTAGCAGCGACCAGGCGTTAAAATAAAATATCTGAAGTGGTATAACTGGATTGACTAATTTTAGGAAATAATTTCTTAACGTCAGTCCGATAAACAGGAACCATTCTTCAAACTTCACCATATATTCCTTTCATAGCCATTGTATAGACCAATAACTAATTTGTTCTGCTTTAATTCGATTAGTTCTGATAGCCAATTGCTGTTTAAATCTCGCTTTTCATAACTCTCCGTGCCCTAAAGGATAAACGAATCAATCGGGTGCGTTCGATTGTTCGCTCAGTAGACTTAATCAGATCAAGACGAAGTTGTTTTGAAATGGGTCGCGTCAGATGAATACGGTATTTCTATGAGAAGATCAATTAATTCCTTCAGTTCTTTTTAAAAACCAGTCAATCCCCAGCCTAATTGTTTTCGTCAGATTAATCGCGAGGTGCTCCGGGGTGAAATGATTAGTCTGATCGCTATGGTAAACTTTTATTGAAGGAAATTTGGCTTCTGGTGAAGAAATCATACCAACTAGTGCTGTTTGGTACATTTCTGTGATGCAATATCTATTCCGTTAGACTTCCTTAAAAAACAACATGTCTGCCTCTGACAGAAAGTACATAACCGTATTAATGTTATCCAGACAACTGGTATTTCAAATATCTCTGTAATGCATTGAGCAGTATTTGAACAGTGAAAAATCAGTACCCAGTCCGTGTAAGAATGTATTTTTATACTAGTAATTTGGTGAAGCATGGATCTTACAGAAGCACTTGTTTTTCTGTTTTTTTCTCTCTTGCAAACCTGCTCAACACCATAATGAATAAATCTGATCCTGGTAGAGAATTTGCTCCCGGAATTGATAGTTTAGGAAAAAGAATCTCAATAGAATTGAATCCCTCAGTTCCCATACTTAATTACACTTGTATACAAATGTGGGTTCAGATAAACCCAACAACTTGAAAATTTGATCTTTAGCGACTGCAGTTGCCACCAATTAGATGCAACCATTCAGCACTCGAATTGAGTGCTTCACTCCTGTGGACTGAAATGAATCTGGACTTGGAAGTGACATTGCTGCCACTCGATTGTAGCCGAAAGCTCTGACTGTAAAAGCGAGAAATATCCTTTTTAACGGGATTTGATCTCACGACACCTAGTAAAGTGATGCTTTGTTTCTTACGAACCCAGTCAACTTTCATTGCTAGAATAAAAAACTAAAGAAAGCAACAACCTAATACAGCAAGAACTTGGATGAATAAATTGATCGACGTTGACATGTTTATAATTGAGTCTAATACTGTAACCTAATCTACTCTAATATATTTAAAGGGATGTGGTATTATTTTTTTTCTATTCAACTTCTGATGGAACTGACTTATGTTACCACGATAACCAAACATAATATTTGATATAACTAATTGAAAGAAAGTCATTTGAATTTTTGAATAGAAACAATTACAGCCTCTCGGGACTATGGGTGCATTTAGGGTGAAGACTGTCTTAATTGGAGGACATACCGTCCAGCTTGAATTAAAAATGCGGCAGCTCTGTAGAAGCGACATAGACGTAGGCCTCCCATGGAACGTCTGGAAGGGTTCCCTCAAAAAGGTTTTAAAAGATAGCATTGATTTGGTGTATTTTGATAAATATTTCAACGAATGTTAGAAATGAAGTGGGGATGACACAATTGGCGGTTACAGCCAATGCTGTTCTCTTTGTACCCTCTATGACAACTACTATTTATGAAAGCAAAAACCTATAAAAGCTGAAGATCGATGAGTCGTTGAACCAAGAGCTCGCTATAGTCGGTTAGATGAAGAATAAAGTGAGGTCCCATGTGCTTAACATCTCTCGACAGAAATCAAGATTGCCCGTTGTCCACTGTCAAAGTCCACTTCATCTCAATTGAATGCATACAGCAGTACTGTGTCATCTCTCGTATTTCGGTCAGAAAAGTAAGAAGTAAAGCTCCATATAATTTCAATCCTTTCTTTCTTATCCTCAAAAAACCTTTCTGTGTGCTGGGGGATCACGGTGATTAGAGCTGATATTTTGGTGTAGAAATGATCTGCCTATTTGACGGTTCTGTTTCAAAACAACCAAGAAACCCAAATCTTGGAAATCTCTTGCTACACCTGGTAGGCTTAGTGATAATCTGTGGAAAGAAAATACTAGCCGACATCATCTTATGTCAATATATCAGTTCGCTTGGCTTTTTATTCTACATATTTATAAAAATGTACAAAAACTGAGTATTTCCCATATTCTACTATCTATTACCAGAAAACATTAAGAAAAATATCTAGTCTTTGTATGTGTCTCAGAGAAACTTTGCCTCTATAAGCACTATTCAGATATCGATCCACGCCTGTTGATCCTGTAATTAAGAACAATCTAGAAAAACAAAACTTGTTCAGATTATGCCGTCACTATAGTTTACTGGTGGGACCATAAAAATCGCATAGAAATGACTTTTGATTTTTAGGAAAGAACTATCCTATTTTACGGCCATTTTGATTTTGGCATCTTTCGCAGATACCTTTTCTGGAAAAACAGGAGCCACAGACATCGGACGGATTACATATACAAAGGGCAGAAAACCTCTCCGAAAAAATGAAATGAATTTTACGTCCTACTTTTCTGCACCATGTGGGCTAATGAAGACGGGCAACGCCATGCAGGGTGCAATGAGGGAAATTTTGCCAGGACAGCAGCATTAGCCTGCTCTTTTTTGATTTCCAACTGTCGAGGGATCTTTAACGTGCACAGCCTGTAGCACACGGGGCCTCGGTTTATTGTTCCATCCGAACGACTAGACGCTTTTTCCATGTCAGCAGGGGGAAACCGGGTTGAAGAAAACCTCTCCGAATCCTACAGCAAAAAAAAAAAAAAAAATATACATATAGTTCCTAGACTTAAAAAGCTCATTTGAATCCCTTTAATAGCAAATTTTCTTAACCTTATAAATCTCTTCTCATAAAAGTTAAAACATCAATTACTGTGGATGAGTTGGTCATTTTCTCTGTAGCTTCTCGGCGACCCTCTTGATCTTTTTAACCTTATCTGTCGACTTCATGATCTAATTTACTCGCAACTCTTCCCCGGAATGAGATAATGGGTTCTTTATTATATTGGATAGAACTGGAATTGAAGGAAGGTTGAAGATCGCTACTCGCTGCTAATTCATTTCATTCTGTACAAATTGAAGACAAATGAAGCCGTATAATATTCTAACGAGTCATCTTTAATTTGATAATGGGATAGAATCAAAATGAATTGTAAACATTATCAATGGCAGCTTCCGAGCTTCAGTGAAACCATATTATCATTCCATCCTAATTCTACCGCTAGCTAAAGTCACGCTAGTTATCGAGAGATTTCTGTACCATTATACACTGTAAGATTTTTCTGTTTTCATTGCCTTAACAAAGCCTCAACTTCACAATGTCAAGCTGTGACGAACTTCTACTTATATCTTGACTGCAATAGCCATCTTTCTTGTGTCACAGAAGTTTGTAAATGCAACGATTTGAATTGATAGTACGCATGCAAATACATCCAGTCAGAGTTTGTTTGGTCAAGGTAAAGTAAATTAATGACTGTGACTAATGAACCACGTGAGCAATTTACTACGAATTTCTGGTGACGAATTTTCCTGTGAGAACCACACCGCTTCCGAATAACTCCGACATCGTAAGTCTCTGATATGAGTTTAAATCGTATAGAACACCTACTATTTTAACGCCTTAAAATCTGCAGAAAAATCCTGTCAAGTATATCGCGCATATTTTTCTAGATTTCTAACAGACAATTTTAAGAGTGTATCATGAAGAGGTTCCATTAAGGTTTCGACTATTCAATAGATTGATGAAACCAGCCGATTATATTGACAATAAAATTTAAATCATAGAAAATTCAGGAACAAATTCTATAGAAATCTATTATCTAAATGATTAAATTTATGAAATCATATCCTAAATATTGTTATTACAGTGACGAAAACGGCAAAGTTAATTGCGATTTTCAGATAGTATTCGAAATTTGATATCGGCGAAGACGTACAAAAGAGTGGAACAAGAGGTGAGAAGAGAGGGAATGACAGGAATGATTTCAAGAAATCGGTAAATAAAAAGTGGGATTTTTTTAAGTCAGGGAATGTACAGAGGGTTTTGAGAAGTCAGAAAATGTAAAGGGGGTTTTGAGAAGTCGGTGAATGAAAAGATGGTTTGACAAGTCGGGGAATGAAAAAGGGGTTTTGACAATCGGGGAATGAAAAGGGCTTTTGGAGGTGAGTGAATGAAAAGGGGGTTTTTGAGAAGTCGGGGAATGAAAGGGGGGTTTTGAGATGAGAAGTCGGGGAATGAAAGGAGAGTTTTGAGAAGTCAGGGAATGAAAAAGGGGTTAAAAGAGAATAAGGCAAGAGTAAGAGTATGGAACCGGGTGTGTCAGATTTAGAGAGGGAATGACAGTGTTATTTTGAGAAGCAAAGTAGGGATGGAATGATTGATTTGAACGTGGAAAAGGAAAGACAAGGTGTGTGTAGGGAATGGAATGGTGGATTTGAATGTGGAGAGGGAAAGACAGGGTGAGTGTGAGAAGCAAAGTAGGGATAGAATAATGGATTTGGAATACCATAGGGCAGGTTGAGCCAAGTCCCAACCTTAAATGGGGCCCCAAACGACTAAAGTCCGCGGGCCCCCAATCATCTAGTTGAGCCACTGGGGAAAGACGGTGTTTAGAATCGGGGTAAGAAATTGCACCGGAAGTTGTCACAAAGTTTTATCTAATATATATTTTATATTAAGCAGACTGAAATCTTTATAACACATAGTGCATAGTGTGCAAATCGTTGTCAGCAGAATTCACACTAAGTTCGAATGTAATCAATAAATGTTGAAATTTAGGATGCAGATCATCACCCTGTATCGGTATAATACAGACCAATGGTCGACCATAACTAGAGTTTAGTGAGAAAATGGTAATTTATACCGGAATCTATAACCCTGGGTGATTGGCTACTCGCAGTAGCAGGAAGTGTCGAACTACTTGCAGTTTCAACCTAGCTAATAACAATCTGCCATCTTACCATGTTGTTACATTGGCCTGCTGTATTGTGATTGACGTGGTATTATCAACTAAGGGGCGGTTTCAATCAAGTCAGACAAAGGCAAAGTACGATTGGCGCGTGCGGTAAATGTTATATAGAAATGGATTAGTTTCTCTTAAACGCAATTGCATTTCCTTATACAGTAGTTTAAATGCTTTAAAGTAAATTGTCACTCCGAGCAGAATTCACAAGTCGCCATTTTTTTTCTCTCGATGTTCAGTGATTTTTTTCTCTGCGATTTGGCACCAGTTTTGTGGAACCGTGTTCTGATCAACTAATTGGAAGTTAAACAGTGACAAGGATATAACTTTGATAAATTTGTTTTTCTGTCATCACTACCGACATTTTTTACTCTCATTAAATCAGAAAAAAAATTGGAAACTAAGTGCCTGAAAATGATGAATTTTATTCCGCCATTCTCTTCCTTTTCCTTACCCTCGGGATTTCAAGGACTGCCATCTCAAGCTAATTGCCCCGGGGGTGTTAGTGCCAAAAGGACACCTTTTGCCATCCAGGATTTATTAAGTTTGGGTAAAAAGGAGGGTGATGATAAAACTGACAATGGTGTTTCAGACAGAGTAAATATTCCTATCTCAGCATATTTTAGTCCGTTTTTATCTCCGGCATTCGGAAGAGATCGCGAATCCAAAGACACAGAAAACGTTCCGAACTTTTTCCAAGCATGGCGATCTCCTGGAAATTTAAGTTCCGCTGTTTCCCCGGAGTCCATGTTCGGCACGAGAGCCACTGCTGATAATTTGGTATTTTCCAGAAATTTCAGTAAAAACGGTGAGTTAAATTATTTATTGATTTTTTCATTAATTTATTTGTTTACTTGTTTTGTTTTCACCTTTTAACTTTAGATCTATAATTGCGGCCTCTGAAATATTTTTTTTATAAAGGGTGTTTTAATGTGTTTTAATTCTTTTGATTTTGATTTTAAAATCTGTTTCTATTTTTCAGAATTTTTAGGAAATTACTCGGTGTTAAAATTCCACAATTCATCTTAATTATTTATTCTATTTTCAGAAATGATCATGTCATTAATAACAGTTAAAAATTACATGAAGGACAAGTTAAATAGTTCATAGCTAAAACAATGTATTTTTTGTTAAAATCAAAAAGTAATTAATTAAGAATCTTTTCTTCAGATTTTCTATAAAAAGGAAAAATATAATATTTTATGAATTAAAAATGTACAATTGTGCTTTAATGTTTTTTTTTATAAAAAGCCTCTCGATAACTTGAACCAGAGAGCTTCACTACATTCTATCAAGGCTATTAAATATCATTGTCTGTCTATAGAAATCACGGAATTTTAGATAGTGTGTTTCTCTCCATTCACTTGTCATGTAAATATAAACATCTATACTCTACAATTCAGGGGATTCCTTCTTCCAACTAGTTCATTGGCAAACCAAAAATATTTTGAAAAGCTTACGTTCATATTTACGAAGGGTTACAGCCGAATAAAAAAAAGGCATTGTTTGATTAAACGGCAAGTTCTGAAATGATAAAACAGTCTAGAGCGTGAAATTAATTGTATCAAAATGGAAATCTGAACAATAACGGTAACATAAGAAACAGTAAACAAAATCCAAACCAGAATTCATGTGATTTAAATTACAGTCACATTACGTATATCATCTCAAATTCCTGGTGATTAGCGGAGAATTTCAGCGACAAAATCAGAAATTGAATCCGAAATGAAATAATTATATTTTTTAATATCCGAGAATTAACAATGATATTCTATACAAGCGTGCGGGTAAAATTAGCTTTTTCTGATAATTAGTAAAACCATTTGGCGAGAAATGAAGTCCTTTGGGAGCATTAAAAAGATATCGCGCCCAGGGCGATCCGTGTTGACTATACTACCACCATACGGTAAATGATGTAGATTTGGGGTAATGAATTGAAATGATTTACACTAGAAAACTAATTATCACGATTAGATAATTAGGGTTTTTTCCCATCTCATTTATGTCGTGTCAATTTTCAATTCATTTTAATTCAGTTTCTAGATTTTAAAATATAAAACGGCAGTGTGTGTCCATTTACAAATTTTCAAATATTTATATTAAAGCGAATGAAGAGTTGGAACTTATTATGCAAATAGTGCAAAATAAAGAAAATCAGACTGTTTTTAGAAAATTATAACTAAATGAAGTTCATTAAAGAAGAATTACTCCTTTTACAGACATTAATGGAAAACTGAAATTGATTCACAGAATCAAAAACCCATATATTTTTTAACACTGGGAAAATTATTTAGTCAACATCCCTGTTTTAACGAAGCTGACACATTCTCCTTTAAAGTTTCTATTCTATATTCAGCGCTAGTTTTTTTTAGTCTTAAAATAACTAAGCTTATGTAACTTTCGAATCCTAGAAAAGTAAAGTTTATGACATTGATGTATTGTTTTTTTCTTAGTGGTAATCTCTCATGGTAACATTTGCTTGGTTCCAGTGTTAGCTCATCCAGTCTTACTTATTGTGAGATGTTACTTCGGGACAAATTTAAACTCAACAGGACTTCTTAATACTTTCAGAACACCTAATACCACTAACTGTCCATTTCCAAATTTAATTTCCTTCAGTGAGTCCACATTATATAGCTCATGCCAGTCCACCGTGCTAATAATGTTGACTTTGTAAGCCAGGCTACTCTTACTGCATGTCTGAGATAGTATTTTCATGAACAATTTTGATATTTCAGATGAGATGAGGGGAAGTTTGAATGATTCCAGTCAAGAACCAGGAGAACTCAATTCTAAAAGAAAGAAAAAAAAAAGACGACATAGGTACAGTATTGTTAATTCAGTTTCCATTATAATAATTTGAAGCAGAATTAAAAACAAGAATAATCTTAACAAAAACCACCATATAGGGAGACGCGATTATTAAACAATATTTTGACGCTGGCACATATCTTCGCCTTTTAAGTAACGTTAAAAAACGACAAAGAGAAAGAATCTACCTATCATTACGTTCATAACCATTACATCTAATGTAATATAAATTCAAAGCTGTTCCCCGGAGTGTTAGAGCTAGTCGTAACTCAACCCAGAACATATAACAATCATAGAAATTTAGGGGTGGAGTATAGGAGTTCCATTTCGAAATTTTGGAATATATTTCACCTATTTAGATCTGTTGATGCCAAAAAAGGCTAAACCCTGAAACTTATATTATGAACGCAATTAGCCATAATTCTTTTAATGTTTAATAATGTTCTTTACAGCATGTATACTTATTTGGCTAATTTCACTTCAACTATTCAACCAAATCTATAAATTTCAATTTTCATTAAAATACGAACATCTGATAACCGAGAGGTTTTATTGAACAAAACGTTAAATTAATCAATTAATAGGTTATTAAAACCTAAATTAACACAGCGACAACAACAGGCTGTCAATAACACCGAGGAAGGCTAGAAAATTAATCATATTAAGTGAATTGTGGATAATTGGAAGAATATTTACGATATACGTTCAGTTTGTAGAAAGGCCTAAAGGTTCTAATTGACGCTATATTGTATTATTGTCATCATTTCAATGACTAACTGTATTTTACTTTATTAAAACATTAAATTATTATAACTTGTTTATTGCCAATTTATTCATTAAGTACATCGATTATCGAACATCGCTGGATATTTTCACACTTACTTTGTCGGTTATTCATGCTCAATTTTGTGTTAGTATAGGGACACCCGATAGCATTATGCAAGCATGTGTAAGCATTTTTAAGCTTGGTCATCGGTTAACGTTTTACTTTTCTTATAACTTGTTAAGGGATAAGCGATATGCAATGCGAGGCAAAGTCAGTGACGAGCAACTAAATTTCTCAGTCTGCATCAATATGTGAGAGAATGCTTACAAAACTGGTAGCTTATTGGGTGATCGTTTTGTACGAGTAACACCCCTTTCTTGAAAAATAGTTATAGTCAAATGTAAATACACTCGGACGCTTGTGAAGTTCGTTTAAAAACTAGTCTAAACTTTTAAGAACTAGACGACTTTATAACAGTGTATTTTAGTGTTGATAATTTCAATATCAAACAAGTATTAAAGAGATAAATGAATTAGTTATAACTTATTAAGAAATCAATTAGTCTGTGATAAAGTTGTATAGTTGTACATGTATAATTTCATGGTTTGTTAGTTTGTAATACACCGCTCCCCACCTGGCTTCATCTCAGTCCTTTACCAATAAGGCTTCAATAAAATCAAGAAGAATTTGTTTTTAATTACTGTGATTGAGTGGATAAATTCCAATTAAAATAGCTAATTAATTGATGCTATTAGAGTGAAAAACGAATGATTTGTGGGTTATTAGTAGAATTGATTTCTAAGGGCTGGCACTCTAGAAGGTTTCCGAAATGAAATGAAACGAATGGAGTTTTTGGTCCCACTTTTCTGCACCATGTGGACTAATGAAGACGGGTATAAGGTTTCCGAGAATCCACATAGTTAAATATATCCAAGTCAGGGTATATGTGTACGCTATCTGAAGAATCCAAGACAAAATGTACGTTTATACCTCAAAATGCAGTGGACTAGTCGAGTTCATCTTTAGTATAAATATAAAATTACTACAAATTGTAAATCAGTCATTTAATGGGTGAATGAATATACAAAATAAGTATATTAACTATATGGATGCTCCGAAACAGATGCCAAGTCGCAAAGTGTATCATATGTTCCGGAGGAGTTAAGATACTCTATATTTCTAGCAGTCAAATTTAACAATAAAAACATACTTTTTCAGAACAATATTCACCTCGTATCAACTAGAAGAGTTAGAAAAGGCGTTTAAAGACGCTCACTATCCAGATGTCTACGCTCGAGAGGTTTTAGCCATGAAAACAGATCTACCCGAAGATAGAATACAGGTGAGAGAAATTAGACTTATAGTATTTTTGCAGCCCCACCACTATTAAAAAAGGATCCAATATAATATGTAACGTGATTTCAATTGACACAGAAGCGCAAGGCATAACAGAATATAAAGAATAACTGCTATCTGGACCATTCCATCAATTGGCCTATGATATATCGTTCTAAATTAAATCTTAATTTGAAACAAGACTGGGTTAAAACTTTGAAAGAGATTTTTTTGGCCTTTATTAGTGCGTTATGACATTTACAGTATTTCACCATTTAGTGCAAATACACAATTCCTTTTCAATAATATACCTCTAATTAATAACAACACGTAGCAGAGAAAAGTGCTATATTATTGTTTCTAAGTGTGTCGGAGAAGACCCCCAAGGTACCTCAGCATGCTTTTATCACATAAGTAAGACCATTGTATTAGGTTGTCTCGTGGACACAGTAGGTGATGGCACATCTACATTAGCAGGGAATCGTTTTCTTTCATAGAAGATAACTAATGTTAATTAGGATTAATTTTTTCGTTAGTTTCTGTTCTGATATTAAGAAATGGGTCTGATTTTTTGCTCCTTCTGTCTGTGAATTTTCTAATTTTAAACTCGAGTGTTACACTGTTAGCCTAGCATCAACTTCGTCTTATACCCTGACTACAATAGCCACTATTCTTGTATCCCGGAATAAATTGGATTGTTGCCCAGAGAACCCTCGACAGAAATGCTGTAAACAGTGTGGCTTATTGTTTACAAACGTTCTATCGAAAGCTCTGGTTGACTGTACAATCCACTCAAATCGTTAACCAACTTAAACAGTGCAAGAATAGTAGCTATTACAGTCAAGGTGTAAGACTACGTTCGTAATAGCTGGACATTGTGACGATGTCAAACCAGTAACCATATACAACACGTGCTCACTCTTGCTAAAACCATTCAATTCTTCGTACTAACGCGACAAAAGTTATGCACTAATTTTAAACATAAATGTTTTTCTAACCGAGGCGAACTAACGTTAATTTCAGTGATAATAAAGCGAATGAAGTGAAGTGAAATTATCTACTATATTATGCTTTATTATAGTGGTTATAATTAACATAAATTATAGTAGAATAATTGATAACATATTGTAACCAGTCAAGTTTAATATTCCCAACAATTCATAATTCTCTATTGTATGATAGAATATATCGGCTCATTCACATCAAGGAATAAACTACCTATCAATAAAATTATTCATATCACAAATAGAAAACTGACATATCTATCAAAACAATCATTCATATCACAAATAGAAATATGACATATCTATCAAAACTATTATTCATATCGCAAAGAGAAAACTGACATATCTATCAAACCCATTATTCACATCACAAGGACAAAACTGACAAAACAATTATTCAAATCAATTTTTCAAAATATTATCTCTGAGTTATTATGCAACTAGTTGATATATATGTATTTTGAAAACAAAGAAAATAATACTAGAAAATCAATTTTTAAAACGATAAAAATCACTGTTACGGTTGGCCACGCTTGGTTCTGCATGATAAAATGTTTGAAAATAAAACCGATTATTGGCAACGTCTGTTTCAGTTTTTTCATAATTAAAATCCAGCCATCCTTGACTTGATAAACTACATGTATTAGACAAAATATCAAAACTTAAATCAATGTTATGTATCCTCTCTTTGTCATGAGGTTACTCATTTCACATCTATGCTGTATTGCAAATTATATCGCACAAATCACAACATGTTTTTGTATATTGTGTATTTTTTCTATATTGTTATGTATAATATAACAATAAATTTCTCCAAGTGTTGACATAATAATGACGTTGGTACTTGGTGCCAGCGTACACGTGGGTTTGTCAAACTGACACCGTTCGGGGAATCCACATAGCTAAGTCAATTTTCATGGATCTGTTGATAATTTCAATGTTGATAATTCTAATGTCAATGCCTCTATACTATCATACCAATTAATGCCACTGTCTGTGAAAAATGCAGCCCATTTTAATTCGTTCAGTTTGGAGTGGAGAATCAGTACGTAAAACTCTATTCCAAAGTCAAAATTAGCCATATTTCACAAAAATTCAATGGTGCTTTCTAAAATTCAGCATCTTAGACCTTATACTGACGAAATCGCACAAGTCGTGACACTTTGTCGAGAACACCAATTCCAACTGTGTGTCAAAACTTACCAATTATCGGTGTAGGGGTCACATGTCAGCCGTAGTGTTTAAAGTTTGGCAGTATAAATAGGTAAATAAGTATTAAATGATGACCATAATGCACCTATCTAACACTATCACAGAAAGTGCGACATTTGTTGAAACTGTATAAAAACTGTTATCACAGTGTATGACTAATCTCGTTAAACCCCCGCCGAGTCGAACGCAGAAACTGTAAGTTTACGCTGCAGGGATTCGACTGTCAACAGATATAGGTTTTAAAAAACAACACACAAAATCTACAAACTTCTGATATGCCATGTGAACTTTTCCTGGCATTTTATCACATTTTCGTATTTTTCTCTGAATATAACATACAACCTAGAACAATGAATATTTCAAAACAGAGGTCCACTGTTGCACCTATAAATGAAAGAGGAACGAAATTGCATTTAATAATCAATAGAGAACGCATTTTATACACCAAAGTGTAAATCTGCATACACAAGTAAACATAGGTGATTAAGGGATGTCTATACTGCTCAAACTCCAACAGCATTTGGCTTTCTATTCATGTCTCAATATGCTTTCTTTATATTGGAATATTTTTTCAGTCGCCGGTTGGTAGAGAACTTTCCAGGCGTCCACCGTTTGCAGCCCTGTTACTGTTCTTGCCTTGATTGTGCTCGCCAATGCCAAAGTCAATGTCACATTATCTTTGTCTTCATGTTGTTTGCATGGAGGGTCATTTCGACATAAAGCTTTTGCTGTTCATAGCCGCCGTTCTGCCTTTTCTTAAATATTTCAAATGCAACTCCAATATGTTAGATTAATATCATTTTGTTTGAAATTTTGTTCAGATAATATAGTGATTACTTGATTTAATTACTTCATGAATATTCATCACTTATTTATCATCAGAATTATTAAAAAATAAACAATGGACAGAAATTTGAATTTTCAAATGTTTGTAATCAGTGAATTTATCAAAGATAGTAGAGATAGACTATTGTGATGAAAGTCGGGTGTTATTTTCAAAATAGAATCAAACGCGGGGCATCATATTTCTATGAATGAAAATTATCTTGTGAAAATATTAAACAAATTTGGGTAATTTTTCCGCGATTCCAGAAATACCAAACCAGACTATAATGTCACTATCGCAAGTGCTATTTGGCTTCATCTTATCACCTGACTATGTTTTTTTCCTGAAATTGTAGGAACCACAGATGTCGAACGATAAATTGGAAAACGAGCTGTATAGCACAGATACGCATACAAAAACCAGAAATCCCCTTCTAAGTATCTTTAAACGAACCCAATCTTTATATTATAAACGTTAGCCTACTATAAATGTGAGATGTTCTATCATATAAGCCATATTAAAATCAGTGTTAAACTTTGTCAAAGCTCGATATAAAAAGCAACAACAAATCTCTTGATTATAATTTGATGTGGTAATCGACTGTTGGTGTAAGATAAACGAGAAAAAACTCCACTATCTAGCATGCAACGAATGAATAAATAAAAAAGCCTCGCCAGTTCTCGTCTCTTGTGTGTGATTATCGTCATGTACGAGAACGGAAGCAGATTTCAAACCATGTTCACGGCACGTAACAAAACACGCTTTTAATATTGGATGGTTTAATCGCCTCGCTTTAACCTCAGAACAGATTGACAAACGTACATCAAACGTTTTCCCAAAGAAAATTGGTTTATCAATTAACTTTACATTGATTACTGTGCGTGTCTCGTGAGATTTGACGAGAGTTAGATTGACTGGTCATGTAACGAAAACGAGGCTATGTAATGGTATTTATTAATTTGATTCAATCAGGCAGATTAGCTGTATTCCTTTGCGAATTACAACTCGATTAAACAGTTCCAATTAATATTGTTAATCGTTTTTATTATACATACAATTACCATTCGCAAACCATTCTTACCGTGGGTTTGTTTATAGAACATATAGAGAACAGAAATAGGTAGAAGTAAAGAAGCTTTTAAGACCAAATTAACAAACTTTTCAAAAGCCTTTCGGAAATACTATTATATTTTTCAAAAAAATAATAAAAGTAAAGTTCATGTTATCTAAATACCAATTTGGAATTTTTTACGCTAAATATAAATTTTCAAGGGAGATAATCTCAGTATAGAAGGGAGATAATCCGAAGTAACATTTGGACCGACTACGGTAATTCATTTGCCATCTGTTTCCATGTAAATTCACGAAATTCAACCTTGTATAACTTTTCCAGAAATCTCGTTGTAAACTTTCCAATATGTCACATGAAAGCTTGGCTTATGCTTAGTTTCTGGACAAAAATTATCATATCATATGACTTTTAAAATCTTGAACTAGCCAAACTGAAAGTAGGCCTAGACCACTACACTGTCATTGCACACAAAACGACAATTTTTAAAATTACCCTTACGCATGAAAAGTTCTCATCATCTCACAAATTCTAAAAGAAAATGCAATTTCAGACATCAAATTCCAAATCTAGACCAAAAATTAGTCAAAAATTAAAAACCCCAAAAGGGAGGGAGAAAGAGAATTTCTAAATAATAGCACGGACTACATTCAAACAATCATTAGCATAAGATATTTTACTGGAGTCGCTCCATTTAAAAAGAATGTATTTTCAAAACTCTTCCAGAAATGAAATGAATGGAGTTTTACGTCCTAATGTTTGGCACCGAATGGGCTAATAAAGACGGAGTTTGGGCGTTGATAATTGATATGTCATTGGATGATAGTGCTTAGTTCTTTTGTATTTTTTCAATACCCAAGGGTAGGTCTACACGTTAATCATCTTGCTATATAGGCTGTAGACTATTTAGAATTGATTAAAACTGATTTGGTTTCAAATGTAATTTTTTCAAAATTGTTTTGCTCCAAATTAGTTACCTCTAAAATCCAATAAGTATTAATGAAATATAACGAAGGCTCGTTAGACATCGATATAAAGCTAATGTCTCCACATAAAATAGCACCGTCACGCAAAGTCACAGATCAAAATGGCATGGAATCTAATAAAGAAATTCACCGAGCTCATTCAGAAAAATTACTTCTTATTCTGTTACCTTTAAATACTGGCTGCTCTGGCTAAGGCTGATAAAATTAACTCAGTTAAAAGAGAATCGTGTCAGCACACGACACACGACACACGTGATTCATTATCAAATTTCATCCAATTAATTAAAACTAATTTGTAATTATGAAAGATATTCATGTATAAATGTTGAGTTAACCTCATTTCCTCTCTTTGACTGTCTGATGCAAAATTTGCTGACTCTGGCGTGAAATCAATAGATCTCATACACGTAGGTAACCTAGTTCTCCTTGTTCTACTTAGGAATAATTATGGTACTAGATACCTTTAACTCCTGTTTTCTATTAACGGGCGTGACTAGTGACTTCTTCTTGTTGGATGGTGCCCGCTTCAGTGACTATATCCCCCGAAATTATATTAGCTTCTTCAGAAAAATTTAGGCAAATATAAGAAAATGAATTTTGATCGAAAATCAATTATGAATGAAAAATAATCATTATTCTTGTTAGAATCTCGAATTAAAAGTAAATCGAGTTTGTTTTCGATCGAATAAATTATTTCAGTTTTATCTAGGATGTTCATATATTATAGGAGCTATGTAATGTTGCCACAAAAAATGATAATAAATGTTGAAAAATATATATGAAAATAGACAATTGTTAGAACATTTGTAACTTTGTCATACGAAAATTTATATTTTATAAGATCAGGCTATGTTACAATTGCTATCTGCTAGAACAATTGTAACTTTGTCATACGAAAATCGATTTTATTATAAGATCGGGCTATGTTGCTATTGTTATGAACATTTGTAACTTTGTCATAATACGAAAATTGATATTAAAAGGTTGTACTAAGTTACATTTTACCAAGATCAGAGTTTTCGTAATGTTGGTAACATTGCCATCTAAAATAATAATTTACAAAATATGGAATGTTGCCACAAGGAGCGATTCTGTATTACCTAATCGTACTTTTTTAACAGGAATAATAATATGACCAATAAAGACATAGTTTTTTTTAACCATGTCCCACATAATAATTTAACTAGAATGAAATATATTTTTTGTAATACAATCTAATATAATATGATTATCCTGATTATACACGACGTTAATTTGTTAGAACGGGGGATAAGTTACATAAAGATGAACTCGTTACTGTTAATAAGAGATCTGATTACAATTAGAGATGTCAATAATGGCTTTACTCTCTTCATAATTATACAGTATTACCTTTTATAAAGGTATATATTCCCATATTTATTTCTCAATAAGCCAAGAAACATGAAAGGGATTGTGTACCATAATTATAAAGTACTACCTATAAAGGTATATATTCCCATATTTATATCTTGATAAGCCAAGAGACTTGAAGGGATTGTGTACCATAATTATAAAGTATTTCCTATAAAGGTATATATTCCAATATTTATCTCTTGATGAACCAAGTGACCTGAAGGGATTGTGTACCATAATTACCTATAAAGGTATATATTCAAATATTTATTTTGATGAGCCAACAGAATTCGAAGAGATTGTATACCATAATTATTCCGTATTACTCTTAGAAGTATACATTCCCATATCTATTTCTTATTCGTTTTCGAATATCATCGTACTATATTCCCACTTTATCAATAAACCTATGAAGGTATATAGTTCCATAGATATATTTCTCTTGATATGACATCATTTAAAGGGATTGATTATATTTTCACCCAATCAATAGCATGATAAAGGGATACAATACTCTAAATAATATTTTCTAAAAGACATATTTTGTTTTTATAATAATAATATTACTGGTTTGGAAAAAATACATATTTAAAAGTATTAATTAATTTAAACAGTATTGTAATTTCTCGAGCGAAGACGGTACATCTGCACCGTACTATTTAGAGGAGTATATGCCTTAAATTACCCAAACTAACCATATAGCTATTATTCTACATCACTATCAAATAAACCATCTTAATATTCTAAACCTCGACTCTCCAACTCGCTTTTTTATTCAACCTTGTGTCTGGATGTCATTTATATCTCTCGATTGTCAAGACGTTTAAACCGTTAACTAGACTATAATTAGCATATTTCAAACCCTAATTGGATGCTTTCGTATTTTTCTCATTAATTACGACAAATTGATCAAACGAGTATTCTAAGGATGTTAATTAAGACTTAACGAAGGGAACCTACCAATGTTATATATTTCTGAGAAGACTATACATCAAGAAGAGTTTTTGTGTGTATTAGTTGAGTATTTTGTAAAGAATAATTCTGATTGTCGACCATTTTCCAGATAAATACCAGAATGATGAATGGCCGCATCTCATTTCTCACCTAATTTCAATCCAAGAAATCTTAATATATTACGATTTAGCAAAATTTGTTTGTTGTTATTGAAACCAAAATCATTTGTTATCCAATTCTTGTCTACAGTTTTTCATGGGTTTTGTTTTTGATATATTAACCGATTTGACTTTTACTTTAAGTAAAGGACAAGTATTTTCAAAACATTGTTACCTTTTTATGACAAGTGAACATCCGCCAAGAATATGTTTTGCTTGGTTGTTTATCTCTGATCTAGTTTTTTTTGTGGTGGTTTAATCAAATGCTCAAAAATTAACAATCACAACAAGTTGTTGACCAAGAGTCAGGTTAAGCAGAAAATGCGTTGTTGACAATTTGTTTTTTCTTAAATTCAAAATCAAGCATAGTGTCAAATATTTATATCCGGAATAGTTGAACGTTCTGAAAAACAGACTGAAGGTTGCTTGACTAACATAGGACAATGCTTTTGTGTATTACAAGTGCTGTTCTGGCCAGCGTTGTATCACTAAAGTTTCAAACCCAAATGCACTACCAGCACCACCAGACAAAAATGCATTTGTCATATTTTTATGGCCAGTGGGTTTTTATTGTTCGTGAGTCGCCATTCTAAAACTAACTCTAACTAAATGTAGCTTTCGTCGTTCCAAGATGATGAAAAGGCTGTACGAATTCATATTTTTACTTTGTTATTGATCTGCATTTTTCTGTGCGTAGTTTCGAACTTAATCATTCTAACGAAAACTTTCATAATTAATAATGTTTTTTCTATGTAATTTCAGGTTTGGTTCCAGAATCGACGAGCTAAATGGAGAAAAACGGAGAAGACGTGGGGTAGAAGTAGTATAATGGCAGAGTATGGGTTATATGGTGCGATGGTTCGTCATTCATTACCTCTACCAGATACTATCATCAACACAGCCAAAGAAAATGTTCTTGATAACTGTGCTCCGTGGCTCCTTAGTAAGTTGTTTTTTTTTCTAATAAAAAAATGTATTGCAACTTTATATCTCGGAAAGATATAAACATTGCGCTTTTCGCAAGAGAATTTAACCCGATTTAAATCATCAGCCAATCTAATATATCAAAAAAAAAATCTCACACAATGCAATGTTACATAAATTAGTTAAGAGCGGAATTTTTGGACTTCTGTACAATTCGCACCAACATTTTTTAATGCTCATTTCAAGTAATGTTGAAGAATAGTATGGGAGAAGTCATTTCATTTGAAAAAAACTAGAACGCAAACCATTTATTTAGTTCAACGAGATGTACAAACGGTCTACCGTGACAGTTCCTTTAGCGCTCTGCTTTACGGAAACTTCCGAGTATGGCCGAATACGAGGTGTAAAGAGACAAACTTGTTATCAGTACTCTTGGACGATTTCATAAATCCTAACAAAAAATCTTTCAATTACAGGCATGCACAAGAAATCTTGTAGCGCGTCGGAGATGTTATCCGGGAGCGAGACGGAAGACAAGAAAGAAGAAACCAATCCTATGGTGAAGTCGGATATCGATACCAGCATTCGCGATCCTAAAATCAAGGAAGAAATTCGATCAGAAAGTATCGCTGCGTTACGAGCCAAAGCTTTTGAACATAGTGTAAAATTATTTGAGAATCTTGGTGAGGATGTCGATGGTGGCCAGGACTCTTGTGATTCAAGTGACGATGATGATATTGATGTAACGGACTCTCCAGATGATAATGTTTCTTGAGTCTAGGCCATGTATTAGCTAATGCACTATGACTCTCAAAGAACGCTTCATAAATTATTAATGAAATTACCGGATATAATATAATACATAATATAGTACCATTCTAGTTATAAAATAAATTGGTCAGGACTCTTAATTGTGTTGTCACTATATACAATGTATCCTGAGTTTAGACTCTTATTATGATGTATCATGACTCTCAGTGAAGTACCTAGACATGTGTATTTGGTGAAAGTCTAAAACTACATTTCCGGACTAAAATATATGTATTATGATTATTAACGATTGTTCCATAGTGCATCATATCTTTGGGCAATATGTCCTGTATCAAAACCAATGTTTCACTATAGAAAACAATTTTATAACAATGTGTCCAGATTCTAGACTATGTATTATAATGTAATATGAGTCTATTATGTTGTATCATAGACAATGTGTCATGAGAAAGGTGTCACTACAGGGTATAAAACGTATTCTGGTTTCAGCATTAAGCTATGTGTATGCGTACTACTTTTGTAACTACCTCTGAACAATAAGTCATTCCATCAGGGGATTATTTACTTTTAAGAATAAATTCCAGAATTTATCTCCAATATATGTAGCATTTTAAATTATGTTGCTTTAATCCTCGTGATTCTATACATGGGTCTCAGTCACCTTATGACTGACAGAATCTAGAGGCACAAGTTACCATCAGTTGTTAACGTTCAAGTTTGTAATAAAAATTGAATCTTGTGTATCTACGTGATGCGAATCAACAGCAACTCTGTTGATAGCAAAGTCAAGTCGACTGCATCGGATCTAGCGAATCCAGTGGCCATTTTCAGATATTAGTTGATCGGAATATGTATAACGGCTTCTGGATAATAGAATCTTATAAAGTAATTTTCTGAGCTGTAACGTCATTCCATATTTTGTATCAACATCGTGATATTCCGCATTTTTTTTTACTAATGTGCTGCTAATTAGTCTTGTTAACAAACTTCGTTCCGTATTTTGTTTCCAGTAAATGACTTTTGTATTTTCTTGACTAGAATTATTCTGTTATATCTTGTTAAAAAAATTTCATTCTGTACGTTGTTTACATTCACCGACTCACTATTTTGATAGCATCCCGAATGTCACTTCGAATCTTGTTTACTACATTATTTCGTACTTTATTCACAGTCGATATAAATATCGCGCATCTCGCTTACAATCATTGACGTCACTCAGTCACATTTTTGTTTACAATCATGGAAATCGTTTCTTAGTTTGTTAACAATCAGAATATACTCAATTCGTCTCATTTTGAAATCTGTAAATATTGTATTTATAATTATAAACTATGTATTTGTGTCAATGTTTATTATTTGAAATAAATGTTATAATTCATTTTTTTGTATATCTTCTATGTTCTTCAACCAATACGCAACCAGGATCTAACACGTCGTCTCATGCCATTCCTTATATTGGAATGGGTTCATACACATGATAACATGGATGTGTAATAATAAATAAAACCAAATAAATCAAAACATGTATGATATTCCAAAAAACAGCATTTAATGCATATACGTTAGAGTCAGAATTATCTCCTCTCTCAGCAAGGTCTAAATAAATATTGACTATATTCATAATACATTCGAAACAACGTGCAGTTCTTTTTCTTACATAGAAATAACAGACACGAACTTAGTTGTTTGCCATTTAAATCTCTACGCCAGACAAAATTCGTCGAATTTTTTAGAAAGTTTATAATTATTTGGGCCTAATGGTCACATGTAAATGTTTTTTTTCATTGGTTGTATGTATACAAAGTTCTAGAAAACCGGGTATGTATCTGTAAAATTGAAGTAGCCAAATCGCATATTAGTTCGCAATAATTCAAGATGGCAGTGCCCTTAGAGAGAAAGTGAATTCATAAATCGATTTTTCACCGAGTTTTATGAACCAGGATTCACCTGTCAACTCACACAAATAACATTAAGATTTTGCAAGTTTTATATGCGTTGAAAACATTCTTATGACACAAACTATAGAGAAAAAAAAAGACCCTACTTCCGCTTTCTGATTCTGTTAACGCGTAGGTCAGACGCGTAATTTCGTATGGTGGCAATGCTAAAAACACGTTACAAAGGTCAAACGTTAAGTAAAAGAGTCACAGAAGACACAAAGCTAGATTCTGCCCAAAGTGACCGAAAGAGCAAATAAAAGTGACCCGCTCTATTTTGATTTGCAACTTTAAGATTCACAGTATATAGTAAATTATTGTCGGTTCCAAAAGGCTTGTCGTTCGGTTTAGATTCAACATAGTTTAGTGTAGTAAATTCAATCTTATTCCTTTCATTGCGGAAGTTTTAGTTCATTATCATACCAATTATCAATAGTACCCATTAAAAACGGGGTAACCCTTATAAATAGGTTATCGCCCCTTGACCCTTTTAAACCCCAGTTTGAATTTCATAATACGGTGTATAAACAAGCTTATACATCTAAGAAAACCGATTTTGACATATTTTCGTTTCAAAAAAATTCATCAAGATTTCAATATAAACTCCTTTGTAAGGTTTTTGAAAAGAATAGAAGTTTATACCAGTTCCTCGCCAATGATATTCATTGTCCTTGAGCAATAAAAGAAGGAAGTACATCAAAGTAGTGTCAATTTCTATTCCTGCAAAATTAAATGGAAGTCGACGTCAACCCATCATTGTTAACAGAATCTGTCTTTTCTCCCGAGCACCACGGAATCATTTAACGATGTGTTTTAACATCCTGAATAACAGGCTAAAATTAATTTGTCTTCTGCTTTCTTTCAAAAATAATTGTTTTTATACGGAACATCCCGCCGTCTCGTTCTATATTCAAAAGACAAAACGACCTTTAATTGAGATGGTAGCACGTGACTTAATGTCGCGCGCCTTGTGCCAAACGTATTCCGATCCACGTTCTGTCCAATTATCAGGAAATTCTCTTCCAGTGAAGTTAAATTTGATGGTATAGTTTGCTCGCCGTCAGCAGTCACTAATTGGTTTGAAGAAGACGGGAACGGGTCCGATAAGCTGCTAATTTCCAATGTAATTAACTTGTTACCGTTGTTCATCTTCTTCTTAGAGAGTTATTAGATCGCATCCTACACGCAATGTGGTCAGTTGATATTCTCTAGATTCTAATGGAAAGAAATGAGTTAAAATGTTATTATCAATTAATATTTTGATTTTCGCAGTTTAAGCGGCGGATGAAAAAAGGTAGAAAATTGTTTTTGTTTGAAAATGTTGATGAATAGTTAAAAATTACATTGAGACATTGAAAGTCAAAAAATATTCTAGTAGTATAATATAATAATGGCGGTGTGAGTATCAAATTGAAATGCTGAAAGTAATAAACATAATCCATAATCTACTGTTTTCTACTGTATCGATAACCCCGCATCTTAGCACACACACTGTCTATTCCCACCTATAAGTACACCGCACCGGACGCCGTATAACTGGTGATCGAAAACAATGCCTTAGTGATCATCTATTGTATACATGTTATTAGCCAAACATCGTTCAATTTCGTCTCGAATTATCCACATTTTGCTCATCTTCTGGTGACGAGAAACCAGCTACTTCATCACAATTCGCAATTGAAACAGTCCTCTCCATAAATGAGACCAATGAAGTTACCTTGTCAGATTCAGTGCAATGAGCACAAACGCCTACCCTTTCTACAGAAAAGTCAATTTTTCCATCTTGAACAATCGGAGATGGTTTTTGGACATATTTCATGTCTACCTAATTGATTTTGTCGGCTTGTTGGCTGTTGTCGTTAACTTTGAAATAGACAGACTTTCTCAAAATGTCACACTTATAAAAAAAAGTATTTTTGTTCAATTCGTTCGTCAATGGAATCGTTGGACCATAAGTATGTTTATTTTAAACATTATCTTTTCTCACGAAATTTCATCTGATATTTTTTATCGAGCTATTTAGACATCTGACAAGATGTCCACAAAGCTTTGAGGAAAACTAAAGATTCCAGCGGCGCCTAAAGAACGATTATCGCTTGTCAAAGAAAGAATATTCTATCTGTTAAATAAGGTGTGAAAAATTAACGAGATACGAGAAGACGAACGAATCCG